TCCAGTGCGAGTTGGTTAGTCAGGTAGAATATGAGTTACCTACACATAAATCTTCGAGATGGAATGACTGATGCACGCTAATCATTCACGTTTGCGCCGGCTGGAAATTAATATGAATTGATTAGGAGAGAAAATGTCCAGTTTTGGCCCACCATGAATGACATCTACATACTAACATTTTAGGATTATAGGCTGGCGGACTTAAGCGGGTTGAATACATCAATATTAAGACTTCTGAGCAGTTTTAGCATGAACTGGTTCAGCTGCGTGCCAAAATCTAGCAGAAGTTCTTCACTAGAGTTAAATGCTCACTTCACTAGAGTTGTGACCAAAAACTTGCCTCAACGTCGAATCGTTCTGTGAAACAACAAGTCTGTTTACATTTTAGAGTTCAATTCGGTGCTGAGAAAATATCTACGATGAATGAAAAAAAGTAGAGGGGGTAATGAAAATCTAAGTTTTCTTATCGTACAAACAAGCGATTTTAGCAGCACAAATCGGATTAGTATACGGTCACTCTAATGATCATCAACACAACGTGATTAGATCACACATAATGGGTACAGTATTGCCGCGTAAAGCCGGTAAATAAAAAGATCATGAATTTGCTTTCAGAAAATCTATTCGCTGCAAACTTGAGAAATGATATCATCAGAAATTCAATAGAATGTAATATGATTAGCAGACACTTAAGAAAGCCATAGCCTAGCCACTCTACTACGATTGTTTTTGCACTCAATTGCTAGCTTTCAAGCGGAACTTTCGAATTTATCGTTCGATTTTCTTTCGGTTCCTTGTCTTTTTGAAGAATTTTTCTTTCGACTCATCTACACAGTGTGGGGCAAAATGCTCAGAAAATGTCCACCAGCAACACGTGTCGGTTCGATGAAAGCACAAAACAGAATGAACAATGAAAAAAGTGTTTTCGTTCGCCAAATGAACATATGATGCCAATTAGTTTTATTTCTTCTTAAAAATTACATCGGTGAAATGTTTGCCTTCATTGTTCACATACACACACTGCCGAAGACGTTCACGAGAGTTGTGCACACAACTCCAGGGTTGCGGCGATGTCTAAGATGTCGTCCGTTCTGAATAACGTCCGCCTTTCACAGCGATTACATAAGTTCTATAAAATGTGCTCTGTAATGTCTTTTCACAGCAATTTACGCAGTTCGATTGAAATTCAAAGTGGTTCGAGTTGGTTGCATAAATGAAACGAACGTTGATGACGTACTGAAATTCGAAAAGAAGCACTTGTGAAAACGACCGAATGAGCACTACGCCGATAACTTAAACTGCCTAAAATTAACAACTCTAATCGGAAATTTGACTTGAAATATGCATCAACCTCTAATCGTAAGAATTGTCAAGTGGATGACACAGCATCAACCTTCAATCCACTTGAATATGAACTTTAAGCATCAAATTTTATTCAATCGCTAACATCAGAGTAAATCAAATCAACGAATGCGATAAAAACTTAAATTGTTCAGTATATTCAATCCAATCATTATCATAAATTCGTTGAGTGCCACCAAATTTTCATTGGCAAGCAAAGAAACGATCTACTACACCACCACGATGACCACCAGCAACATTATGGTTGCGAAATAACCAAGCACAAACCAATAAATAAGAGTATTGACTCAAGAAAGCATGTAATCAAGAGTGATTAATGATAATAACCAAAAGTTTCGAGTAGTACCGTCATTATTAGTGTCATTAGCATTGATTTATATTCGTTGGTTTGTTAAGCTCGATAGCGCCAGCAACAACTGTTCAATAGCTGAACTAACTATGGTGGTTGATCACTGAAGATCATCGGCTTGATCCTTCAAGTGTCATTTTATTCACTTGTTAACGCAATTCATCCAGCATATGTTCGTTGAATGATTGATTACTTGTAATAATGAATCTTTGTCATCCATTGGATGATCCTTGATGATCTGATATAATAGACACCTTTCAGTTCGGTCAAATCTCAGAACCGATGGACTCCAGAGTAGATGTGATACTAATGATATTATCCCTTTTGCAGCAGTGACAGCGATATCGCCTTTCGTTCTTCTCTAGTATCCGACAGTCAGTGCGTACGATATTCTCAACTGTTCTGGAGCGATGGAAGAATGAGAGTTGCATGAATAGTTGAATGAATATTCATTGGATAGTGAACACCTGAATCGGATATAGGATAAGTAAGCTCGCTCAAAGCTGACTCCGTCTTATTCAGTTTCAAGGAATTCTGTAAATAAGTATGTGTACGTTCCATCCATTCGAATCACTGAAAATATTTTTGACTCAGATTTCAAAGGATTAAATTACTAGATAAGTCTTGAATATGTTTTGTTTTTGCGGTCGCGTAGAACTCTTCATTCATTTACTCATCTTAAAATTAGGTTTTCGAAGTGTTAGCAGAAAAATTAATAGCTGAATTCAATTTATTTATTTTTGGTTGACATGAGTGATCGAACTAAACGAATTAATTGATTTCAACATGTTCCGCTCTGTTCTCATTGACGAAACTTCATCAAACGTTAGACCGTATTTATTAGATCGAGCGACTTTAAATCCAAATATTTTTGGTCATTGATTTGTAGTTAGGCTCAGATGGTGAGCGGTTGGTTTGTCGATCGTTCTACGCGATCGGCAAAATATTCATGATTGTTGCTATTGTTTAATAGATTGTTGTTGGTATTCGGCTGGATTTAATTATGCAAATTATCTATGGACAATAGGCACTCGTTATTGGTTGGTTGTGGAGTGCTTGATACGCCGACTGCTATGGATCTACTCGGTTACATTAATGGTTTATTATTGATAAAGAAAGATTACTGATTTACTACTGTTGGTTGTTCCAAACAACTACTTTGAACAAGTGTACAATCGGAATGATTGAACACGTTGGACAAGTATTCAATCGATCCATCGGAATAGATTTTCGGGCTCCTTTTGATTCCCTCTCCCTAGAAATCATTGGGCAATATGGGAGAGTAGCCCAAAACCTCTGTGCTTGTCAGATCAATAATCCAAGTTCGAATTTAATGAAGACAGATGATTCCAAACGCTATTATCGTTAGGTGTGCGGAAAGAAGAATGCCAAGGAAGGAAGAATGTGATTTTAGTGAGATTGGTGTTAACAGAGAGGCACACAAACTCGTAATGAGTTCGATTTGCTGATTAAATAAATGATCATTACTCATTGATCAACGTTGACAAGCACCTCCTTTTTGATCATTCAAGTTTTCTTAATGTCGATTATTAGTCGACTTCATTGCCCTAATGAATTCACGGCATCCTTTCTCGCAATCCCACTGCTCCTTTCGAATCTAGGCAGAAACCCAAAGAAGCAAATTTTTCGTTGCAAACTTTGAGCTAAAATTAAGTAACAAAAAATCGGCACAGGTGAAAATTGCACGCAGTTCTGTTTGAGTATTTGAACTCTATGTGAAATTAGACCGAAAATGGTTCAGTTATAATCACACAAGGTATTCGACGCAGGTGAAAGTCCGCAAAATTCCATCGGCTTTTCGGAAAAAATAATTCTATCGGACAAATGAAAACCGCAAAAAAAAGTTTGACGAAATCGAAAAGGTTTCGTAGATTAAATCTGGAACGAATATCTTGAGAAAATGGAATACAGCTGAATAAATCTGATATTTAAAAAAAAATCGAAAGGAATAAGTTGAAAGAACACAAAAACTAATGCGTGATACCGTTATGGATAGCGTGCGAATTTTGATGAATAAACGAAATTTGAAATTTCAGCATTTCTCATACAAAAAAAACCCAACTAACAGTTTCTCATTCCACTGAGCAAAGGAAAAATTTGGAAAATCACGAAAATTTGTGCACTCATTTCATATTTCTCACTTCGACTCGTTTTACGAAGGAACGACAACAGTAACAAGCGATTTATTTTAGAGAAATTCAACAATTAACAATGCAAACTTTGAATAAGAAATGACTTAAAACAATGTGATCAAAATAATTCAATTTTAGGTTCGAATTAATAATTTTCACATTCAATAACAAATGCTCCAAAACATCATAAAATTATTGTTTCACATTACCGATACTGCTCTAAAACTTCAACACAAAAAATGAATCGAACTGAATTTCACACAAAAAATATACTCAACTGGAAACGTCAAACTTTTCATACTCCTCAAAAAACCCTACAAATTCATAATTAAAATCTGGATTTCACGAAGCTTCAGTAAGCATTCGTACTTCTTGAAAAAAACCTTTTTGCCAATTCTTAACAGATTCACCTAATGGAACAATCAATTGACGACTCAAGCACCCACCCACAACAACCATTATTAGGTTTTCTCAAACAACGTCTACAGCAATCATAAATCTCAAGAATCAATTATCTTTACGCTATTAGAGCAAATCTCTTCTCTTAAAACCTCTCCAGTTACTGAACGTGATTGAACGAATATTTGCTCAACTCAGTATAGAAAACGGACAGAAAATAAGTAAAAAATCACTTATTCGATGTGATTATGACCTCAAAACCACAGATTATTTACTTGAAACACACACAAATTGAAAATCAAAATATACTGAAAATGCCCAATTTATTTGAAGCGTTTCAAACTAATCCTCTTTGCACATTTTTTCCTCTCCAAAAAATTACCATTTCCTACACATTCCTACACCTTGAAGAATCAACTATACTCTAAAAACAATCAACAGATTAATTTCTGCTTAAAATCATCTAACGCCAACTGAATGTTTCCGAAGACTCCAGAAAAATCAGATCCAAATGACTAAAATCAGAATGTAACAAATTCATCTAAATGATCAGATCAAACAAATCAAAAAATTGTTCCATCCAATAATTCAATCATTATTGTTCATATTATATTGTTGTCGTATTTGCTGTTGACTTCACCAAGGGATAATTAAAGCGAGTTGATTATATAATATAGCAGCAACAAGCAATCAACAGAAAATGTCGATTTTTTAAACGCCGATTTGATCTGATCTCTTCAACGCATCGCCATTACCTTCAAAACAATCATCATTCCTTATGATATTTCAATCTTATTGTTAGTGAAATTTGCCTCAAATCTCATGATATTAGTACCAACTTGAAACTATGGCTGAAATTCTCCTGCCTCCCACCCTCTCTTCTCCATCTCAACCCAGGAATTAATTCAGTACGTATTATTCGAATATTACATCTCTTTCACAACTTTGATTACCCATTCTTCCAGTTGAAACAATGACAATCCTCCAAAAAAATTCTTCAAAAATTCTCCAAATCTGTGCAAAAAAAAAAACAACAACTCACGATATCATCAATTTTGAGAATTGATCGAACGCATTCTGCAGACTGCTTAATAGCCGATGCTGTCACCAACAGTGGTTGTATAACGTTCTCCTCACGAATGTCAGTTACATTTCCCTAAAACAACTTCTCCATTTACATCAGAAATTTTGTGTTACCACAATAAAATCCATATATAACTCAAATCATTTCAAAGAAACACTTCACTTCTCAATCGAATTCATTAATAATTGAAATTTGCCTCACTTTGCGAACGTTAACACCAAAATTCTTGTGACCATTAGCGTGTTGATTACGCAGCTCAGTGACCGTCTTAATCGGGCTCAGACCTGCATTCTCGGCCAATGTGTACGGTATCAATTCCATCGCATCCGCAAATCCCTACAAGAACATTTATTTAACTTATATATACCAATGCTTGAATCAACACATACCAATAAATGAATCAATCAAAAATGATATGATCCAATACGTTTTAAATGAAACAACCTTCCAGCAATATTGCTCTGCACCAAGTTTACTTTGTGCTAGATTACGCAACTGTACGGCCACTTCCATTTCCGGTGCACCACCACCTTAAAAATATCAATATAGATCAAAAGCTCAACTGAAGCTTGCAAAATTCATGATAGAATGAACATACACCAACTGCGAACAACTGAAGAACTCTCACTCTTTTGTACAAATTCATACGTTCAACATTTAATCAAAACCATTCCTCTAACACCTTTACATCAGAAGTATGACGATTAAAACTTCACATAAAGATCAGAAATGTAACCGAATGAATTTCTGCATCTCACTTCCAAACCAATAACAAATATTGTCTTTTCATAACGAACAAATTCTGCCATCAATAACTGCCTTAAAGAATCAATTCCGCATCAAAAATGCATCCAACATCACATCATCTCACCAGATATCAAAAGTCGTTTTTTCACTAAGCATCTCAGCACACATAACGCATCATGAAGTGAACGTTCAGCCTCATCTAGCACAAGCTTGTTGGAGCCTCGTAAAAGAATCGATACCGCATGTCCTGGATTCTGAACGCCCGTCACCTGAAATCGAAACAAAATCAACTTACCCATCTCAAAATTTCATAACTTCGAATCAAACACATCAGAATGAATTAATGAGATTTCAAATGGAACACGATTCCATGAACTATTGAGCAAAGAATCAAATGGTCAATGTCGCAACTGATAAAATTTATTCACTCATTCAACAATTACAATACGACTCTTCACCACTTACACATGCCTGAACCTGCTATCCCTAAACATCGATGAAATATTAATTCTACCACCACCTTCCTTCCAGCACTTTTGCTGAGGAACTACATGCTAGGCTTTGGAAAATAGCGAAACTTCTCTCCAAGTTTGATTGTATTACTTGATAAGATTTCTCATATGCAATAAACAGGGCTACGAACTAACCTCGATTACACGTCCATCGCCTCCCGTTGGGATTTCTTGAACGAGATCTGCAGAGCCGAGCGCTTCTGCCGTGAAGTGATCAACGGAAGCGACCGGACGACAGCCGAGAATACGCGAATAGAACTCGATATCGTCACGTTCGATATCTTTCACTACCATGATCTTCATTTTCGCCAAGAAATGCAGAGCCATTTCGTTGACTGCATCTCTGCAATGCACACTTCATCATTAATAATCACTCAAAATGTTCAGATTCTTCTACTTACTGAATATACATAAACTCGAAAAATTTCGAAAGCACTGAACTAACAATCTTAAGCAATGAAAACTTTGAGCTTTCCGCTTTCAAACCTTGCTCCTACGCGAAACATTTCTCCTCATCGCTAATGAAAATTCGATACTCCCTGCCCAATATCAAGATAATTCTCAAACATCAACCGCACCGCACCTCAAAATACTCTTCTGAATCAACAGCACATTACAACCGGCTTTCTTGATCTGTTTGCAAAGATCCAGGATATAAGTGCGTTCCTCTCGAAGTGCACGATCCATTTGTGAATAATCTGTTATGATTACCTGATTTTCCATCTGAAATATCTTTCCGTCAACTACGAGCACATAAACAAGTAACCGATTCCACACAAATCACATCTCAACATGGCTCAATACTTTTGTACAATTATGCAAAATGCTGTTCAGGTACAAAAATTAAAAATAACTTATGATTTCTGACTCTCCTATCTACTGGATAAACGAATGAGGAAATAAGCGAATGAATGAACGAAAACGCTGCATACATCAGTTTTCGGTGGACTAAGTTGAAACTGAATGAGACCAATTTGAGCCTTCTCGACGCGGGTCGGTCCACCACGTCCCATCGACTTCTGGTCGATGAGTGCGCCTTCGACCAGACGCGATTCTTCGACTGTCTCGCCGAGTTTCTTCACAACCTTGATCATTCGTAAGTCGACGTTGAACTCTTTTTCCAGATCAACAACCTGAAATTTGAGAGGAACACGACTGAGGAACCAAGGAATAAAATCTAAAAAATTTATCCCTTCGAAACACTCAAGCGGTATCGCGTTCGAAGTGAAAATATTTTATAAAAAACGACGTGTGAGACTGCGTGTTTCAGAATCAGAATATTGTCAAAAAATCAGACTCAATCAAGATGAAGTCACGTTCGCAATCAGATCAACTTTCATCTAATTGTAAGCCAACCTGTCAAAAAGTTGGATCAGAATTAATGAATGAATGAATGAAAGCTGAAATCAACCTTTTGAATAGCTTTCACAGCCATCGGTGCCAGCAGCCAAGAATGTTGTGAGACGACCTAAAATTTCTGACATTAAGATCGGATTTAAATTAGTCGCCCGCCAAAATACCGCATTATAACCCAATCTCAAATCATATTGTGAATTCAAAATCGACTTTCCGAAAACTAGAAACGAACGAAAACGAAACCTTCGAAGAGAGACTTGTGGTGGCAATTTTAATCAGCTCTTCATCATCGTTCACATCAACAGGCATTGCCATTGCCTCCAAAATCTTTTCGGCTTCAGATGCTGCTCTTTGGAAAGATTCTGAGATTTGCGTGGGATGGATACCTAAATAAAACCGTTCAGGTAGCCGTTCAATTGAAAACGTATCACAAATAAAATAGCAGAATGAAACGACGAGACTTCAACCGCGTCGAACCTTTATTCAGTAACTTTTCTGCAGCATCCAACAGCGCACCAGCCATAACAACCACTGTTGTCGTCCCATCACCCGCTTCTACGTCTTGTGCTTTCGACAGTTCGACCAACTTAAACGAATCTTTACTGACTGACTCACGGACTATTTGATCAAAAATTGAAACATTTCGCTACTTAAACGTTTCTGTTTGGATTCATAAATTGCAAATTTTAGAGATAATTCTTCTCAAAACGTACCATTTTAGCCGTTGGATGGACGACACTCATTTTGTTGAGGATCGTAGCACCATCATTCGTGATAGTCACCTCTCCATTATCGGTCTCAATCATTTTATCCATTCCTGAAAACATCACTGATTGATTGGTATAATAACATCACACTAGTGAGCAATGGTTAAATTTATAGGTCATCGAACCGAATCAATAGAATTAATGAATGCAGTCAATAAACACACTTCCAACTCCACAGCCCATGCACCATCTCAATGTCTCGAAGACCTCTAAGCACAAATCTGATCGATTTTTTGATACCGAAACTAGGCAAGCAACCTTCACCACATTCATTTCTCCATCAACGCTCATGCTACCATACATCGAACACTTCAAAATCGTCGAGCCTGCTTCATATAAACAGAAATATCAAAGGAAATATGAAAAACCTTTTGGTCCCAAGCTTGTTCGAACCGCATTTGCGACAGCTTTAGCCGCCACGATATTACTGCTACGAACACCTTCCGGTTTGCCTTTATCCTGGAAATTCGAACTCAGATTTTCAGATAAAATAATCATGCATACTTGGATCTCTTCAAAATTAAATGCATTTTCTTCTGGAGGCGGAATAAGCCAGAAATGGGACTGAACAAACAAACCTTGAATGCACCACTTTTGCCAGATGCTGAAAGTTTTGCGGCAGGAGCCCTTGCCATAGCAGCAGCAACAGAAGAAGGGGCAGCTTTCGTTTTTGCGGGCATTTTCTTTGATTATACCTTAACTCACAATCAGAATGCTAACGAGTATTACAACAATCGAATGAACGCTTCACCGAACTCAACTCAAACACGATTGAAACAATATAGACCTATAGTTTCCATACGAAAAGATCAATCTGTTTTAAAGTTGAAATAAACAAGCAACCTCGAACGGTAGCGATCACACATGAATAATAACGCACTACCCGTGATAAAAATAAACGGTAATTTTGCAGTAAGCAATGTAATCTAGCAGTTTAGGTCAAGGAAAAGGGAGTAGCCTAACACACCAACGCCATCGAATGATGAAGGCATTGTGCAACATGAAGACACTGTGCAACAACTTAACTTCCTGGAACTAGAAGAAGTATTTCAACTGAAACTGAATCAATTTGAGTGAATAAGCATGCTTGCAGCTAATTGTGATCCATGCAACCAGAAATAAACCAATGATGAACGCCAAGCAGCAAATACGTACAGTTTGGATTCATATTAAGAATACAATCAATTTACCGGAGGTGAACAATAGGTCAAGTGTAAAGTTATACTCATTGAAATGAAACCATACCGGACGGTACTGATCGATTGTACATTAGAAATGAAAGGCATTCTATTATTAATTGTAAGCATTCACGGAATTTAATTGTCGTACACCCACAAAACATGCATAAAGCGAATGTCGCTCGTTGCCAAATGGAAAGTTCTCTCTGCCCGGAAACTCTGACTTCCGTAAGCATTGCTAACTTAGCATTGCAAAACAGGTGGTGAAATATTACGCAATATTTGTGATTTGATCGACATTTCTTTGAGTTTTTTTGCAAGATTTTTGGTTTTTTCGAGCCTGAGTTCACTTTCGAACGTAACTCACAAATGCTATCATCGGTTTCATTGCACCGTTTAGCTGAACTTGATGTTTCTGGTATTCGAAGTACCGTTTAATTGCTACATTTTCGGATCAAGATGAAATCTCTTAAGGCAGTAGAGTAGATCAAAGCGGATCTGGAGACAATCTTGAGTCATTTTGGAAAACTTAAGGTGCTGATCGCATCAGAATGTTCCAATTTTCTTGAAACCCGATCCAGGGTGATGCTTAGAACACCAAGTCGACATGCTTTGACGAGGACGTCGTTAGCTTCGCTCTATGTCGAAGTTGGACTGTGCTGTGATAGCGGATATCAGATATTGGTACGGGTATTTGTCCGGATATTGGCAGCAGTAATCGGAAGTTCAGTGCCGACTGAAATCTTTTACAATATTCCTTTGATATGGGTTGAAGATATGGCCCTAGTTCTGCTAGAAATTACCAATAGGATCAATCCATAACTCAGGTCTTTCGTAACGATTGCCTCTATGATTATATCCCATTGTGATGTCTCCTAAGGCAATAGAGACATCATGGCGAGATTAAGGTCATCATCAGGCTCCAAATTAGTTTGATGTTATTTTGATTTTGTATGGCCACTGATAGACTATATTCGTTTCCTCGTACAATAGGTTCCTCATAAATATTTTATGGGTTATTTGAATGCAATTTTCAGGTCTTCGTCAAAACAACATATATCAATGGCCTGGCAAGATCAATTAGTGTCAATATGTGGTTTTAATCTCACCCAATCTTCATATATAACTCGATATCTCTTCAATACAACTTCAAAAACGTTAACACCATGCACTGAATTGGCATTAATCACCATTGAGAGTATCCCACTTTTCTATCTGTCAATCGCTACATTCTTTATATTACAGGTAATTCAATTGCCTGATGATAATATTTAATATCTTACTTTATATTATTCATTTTACAGCAGATATCCATTTTATTCCCTTGGCTTCAATTGAGCCATATTGTAGCCAGAGTATGATTGTTCAATTGTGCCTCCCAGGAATTCATGAAAGGCTTCAATTTCTCACTTGAAATTTTAACTGAAGTTGAGAAATTGGAACTGAATATGAATTCGAGGAACTGAACAATTGAGATTTTCAATTGCTATCATCCATCCAACCCTACCACTTCTGAATATCTCTCAATAAGAAGTGAAGTCACCTGAATTACCGATATTATATTCCCGTACCAATGCTACTTTTTTAATTGACTAACTGTCCCTAATCCAGTATGAATATTCAGCTGTTCAAATATTGTTGCAAACGGTTGTTTGATGAAAATTGTTTGAAAAGGGATTACAAGTAATATGTCGACGTATAGAAACATAAAATTGCCTTTCTCATATGGATATGAAATCAGTCAGCTTTGAGTATCAAAATTCGTTCGCATAGAAATGCGAATTCCAAATAATTAATTTAATTTTCAGACATTCCGTCGTATTGTCACGAATAATTTGTGGTTTGTGGTTAGTACGAGACTAGCGATATCTGTTTCAACTGTACTTTTGTGTGCACTTTGTATATACCTTTCTGCGATCAGCTATTATTCGATAAGATTTATCTTTTTGTTGGAATATTCTATATTACTCATCGTATGGTTCACATTCGCAATTCTATGGATTTCGGCGTTGCATTTATCCGTGTATGCGTTTCCATTTCTTCATTTTGTTTTTTTTCACATTCTTCGAAAAATGCCTTAAATGAAAGGAAGAGATTCGATGTGGAATTGATGAAATTTCAAGGTATAAACATTGATTTTCGAAACTGCAACTCTGGAATGCCATTCTTTTTAAAGGATGAGCTTCCAGTTATTTAGATTCGATTGAAACTTCGCCGTTTTTGGATTGAAAATTGATGCTGTCGAATCATTTTCATGAATTGTGACTCGAAATTTTCGTGAATTCCGTTTTAGATGGACACATTCGACAAGTTTGTTACTGTCATATGCGATTGCTTCATCGTGTTTTCTCGTAATCTCTCTGCAACGTTACTTAAAATTTGGATTCAATGATGTGAGAACATTTTTACCGACTGGGATATTTGGTATTCATATAATTGGCATGTTGATGTATATTGTTGAATGGCGTATTTCGAAGTGAGTTTGCAGATTTGTTTGAAACTTGATTGAGACATTCAATTTTGCATAGTTGTCAACTGATAATGAGGTGCTTTATGCAGTTATTAGATTCAGGAAATTATCATTTTTCTTACTGCTTTAGTGTTTATTATCAGTTATTAAAATCTTCATCGTTACGGTTGATTTTACTTTATAATTGTTCCAATATCCCAATCCCACCACACTCTGTCATTGATGCATTTTCATCACTATATTTTGAGGGATATCTGGGCGTATTGAAATTTTTTGGCCTTTTGACAGTTGAAATAGTAATGAAAATGATGAATACCCTTCTTCACAATATGAAAATAGAAATGTTGAAAGAAGCTTAATAATAAGTAGAAATGATCCAAATGAGCGAAGCGGTACTGTTTTGAAAGAATTATGGATATTGATGATGAATGTTGTAGACAGTACAGTACAATGGCGTTGTTGGAGAGTGATTCGTCGATAGCAGATGATACGATCAGATTGATGGATGGAGGGGATCAGAATGCTTCATTGCTTTCAAGAATATTCTTTTGCTGGACAAATGATCTCATTCGAAAAGGATATCGACTGCAGTTGAACAATGTTCATTTTGCGTTCTCTATTTCTAAATAAATGAGTGGATTATTCTGAATCGGTAGAATATTTTTAATGCAAACGAATCACGAATAAATAAGAATCCCAAACTACGGTGGAATGAAATACGAGTCCATGGATGAATGTGAATCCGAACTAGACCTCAGTTATAATTACAATTAAAGATGGAAAGAAAATCAGTTAAATCCTGAAATATTCGTATAAGCTGTGGTCAAGGGTCCTTCATTTTATCATCATTATTACTAGTGCTCCAGATTAGAGTATTTCAATCATCTAGTTGAAGGCATCTAGATAAAATCTTTCCGGTGGAACCGCTGTTCCACCTTGAATAAACTCGTCAAAATGGACCAGCATTTCTGTGATCTAATGAAAGCTCATGAAAATATTTTCCGTTTCACTGATCGCTCTCAACTGCATTGTATTTCCAGATAAATGATCTATTCACGCTGCCATCTTCCCTGGAAAGCGATCAGGTTGAGCGAGAGTTTATTGAGGCTGCGTCGACACGTTTTGTGGATGATGAAGAGTTTTCGTTAACAAAAGCACTTTTTCGGGTGAGAACCATGTCTGATAATTTTATCTATTCCATACGTTTTTATCAGTGTTTCTTGCAATATATCACTGAATTATTCCTGATCTCATACAGTATGAATGTCATGGTGATATTTTGCACTTTGTTGAGTTATTTCTCTATGATGACGAACAAATAATGGCGGTGATTCACTATTACTAAAACTGCAATAAAAGCGGTGAAGAGGGAACGACAATAGCGAGCGTATTTCTTAATCTACACGATTCAACAATATTAAGAATAATATTTATAATTAAGACAACAATGAGAATAAGAATAATGATAATAATTATAATCATGATTATAAACAATGTTTCGTAAGAATCTTTCGCAACAATGTACTTAACATTCAAAAGCTTAATATGACGCAGTTATTACAATGAACAAGAGACATATACAACAGAGAAGATAAGGCATATCAGAGAAGACAGTTGTCGTGAAGAAGCCTATTCATGACAAAAACAATGAACTCAGAATAAGGAAAAAAATCCATTCGATAGATTTCTAATGTGCATTTGACGTCAGTCAGCGCATTTTGTATAGTTGTTTATTAGGAACATTATGGATTCAAAAAATTTTGAAATTTTCAGGCGTTCGGCTTGCAGTTTTTTGCATTGGGCATACTGAAGTTGATATCAGATACACTCACGTTTGCCGGACCGATACTTCTGCATTTATTGGTGGTTTGTCTTGAGGATGAGAAGTGTGTGGTGAGTACTTTTTGCTTCATTCAGTCACATTCTTCACTGTTGTTTTTTTAAGCGAATCGTCCAGTATCATATAAAATTTTATGTGATTGGTTATTTTTATTGAATAATAAGGAATATCAATAACGAATTCAAACTTCAATTGTTATTTGCTGAATCAAAGAATGAGTTTGTTGAGATGAAATGAATTGAAATTGCTGGATTCGAAGTACTATTTTGGAAATGTCCATTTTGAGTTATTCGTGAATGTGGATTAAGAATTTTTCTGTTTGCAGGAAGACGGTTATAATTACAGTTTACTGATGATGATTGCAACATTTTTTTCCGCAATCACTTCAGCGAATTTCAACTTTTACATCAGTAAAATTGGTCTGAAGATACGTTCAGCTATTTCAACTGCAGTCTATGATAAAGTATTTGATTTTCATTGTTTGTTTATTATTGTTGTGATTAAATTTTGAAATTTTTGACATTTGCATTTGATTTAAAGTTGTTCTTTGTTTGGTCGCTTTGAAAATTTATCTCATTGTCAGCGAACAATTCGTCAGCATTTATCAGCAATTTTTTAACAGTCACAATTGGTCTGGCATTGATGAAAAGTTTGCTTTCAGCTATTACGTGTATCTCTCTCAACACTATCGGCGTTCTCATCGGGTCAGATTTTGAACTTTATGAGTACCGATATCGATCGAATCGTCAATTTTTGCGGCTCTTTCCACGCGTTCTGGAGTTTGCCACTGCAGTTAGGCATCGCACTCTATCTTCTTTATCGCGAGGTGGTTATTTTGAATAGTTGATGGGAGATTAGTTTTTTATATTTTGAATGAATTCGTTGAATTTTTTGTTGGAGTTGTTGGATTTTGTTTGATTGGAGTACGAGAAATTGTTTGAGGTTGGTCTGGCGTTCCTGTCAGGATTGGTGGCCTCACTTCTGTTGTTACCAATAAACAAATGGATAACGTCAGCAATTGGACGACTCTCAACGAAGATGATGCACTGCAAAGATCAGCGTGTCAAAGTATTACAGTCAATATCATTGTTGTGATTGGGTTTTTTTTTGTTTGTTTTATTATTATTGTGATTATCAGTCTGGTGGTTATAATCGTGTTTTTGATTGGAATCGTTAATGTGACTTTATCGGTGGTATTGTTTCGTATTATTAATTATTATTATTATTATTATTATTATTATTATTATTATCACCTGGATTGGGATTTTTGATATTATATTAGGGTTATCTAATAGGTCAATATTGCAGTTGATCAGTGAAACGGTGCATTCGATTCGAACAGTTAAGCTGTCGAATTGGGAAGCCGAATTAGAGCGTCGTATTTTGAGTTTACGACAAAAAGAGATACATTATTTGAAAGGACGTAAATATTTGGATGCGATATGCGTGTATCTGTGGGCATCGGCCCCGATCCTGATTACTATCTCTATTTTTGCAACATACACAATGGTGTTGCACGAACGACTCACTGCAGCCAAGGTTTATTTGGTGTTAAATTTAATCTGAGACTGGTTTCGTTCTTGATACCGTAACTTTGGCTCTGAGAATTTGTTTCAGTGCACTTCGAATTCCACATTTTGAGTTTTTTAATAATTGTAAGTAAATCAGTGAATTGACAAGTCACATTAGTTTTGCTGGATATCGATCGTATAGTGAATATCGCTGTGGTGAAAAGTTTAAGTTGTAAATATAGCCTCGAATTTTATTCCGATGTCTCGGATTTTATTCGTTTCTGAATGTTTGATGGAGATTTTAACAAATCAAGATGGTTTTCTGTTGTTTTTGTGTGTCTTAAATGATTGAAGAATTTTTGAAGGTATTCACATCATTGGCATTGGTAAATATTCTGATTATGCCACTGAACAATTTCCCGTGGGTGCTGAGCGGTCTGATTGAGTCGTTTGTCTCGATAAAACGTTTGAATCGATTCTTTGAATTGGACAATATCGATATCGCAACACTTTATTCACTCACAACAGGTGAATTGCTTTAAACGCTGTTGCTGGATGTTTCGGATGCTTCATTCTATGCACCCATTTGAGCGAAATGATGCAATGATTTCGTCAACTCTTTGCCGTCAGTTCAGTGCGAGGGTTTATGAATTATAAAGGAACTTGTTTCACGAAAAAATTGTTTATTGAAAGTTTGATTCTTATTGGATGAAATTGAAAGGATTCTATGAGTTGATCAATTAGTGGGAAGTTTTATATCATTGTATTATGTGCGTAATATCGTGGAGGAGGGTGTAAGTTCGAAATTAGAATGGTGATTCCGATGAGTTTTATCTGACTAAGAAGTAAGTTTCAATTGAATTTTATAGATTCATCTCAACCGCTGCAAATCAGTGATGCGAAATTCTCGTGGAGAAGCGGATTTTCACTGAATAATGTGACAATTAGCGGAAATGCGGTTGGTGTCTTTGCTTGAATGCGGTTTTGTTCTTTAGCGTCGAGCATCTCTTGAATTCTTAGCAGTTTGGATTTGTGAAACCGGAAAGTTTGAGAATTAGTTGCCGTTAAAGGGTACAGTCATCGGACTGATCGGATCTGTTGGATGCGGGAAATCGACGTTCTTGTTGGGTATTCTTGGTGAGACGGATGTCTTAGCGAATCGGATTGGAATACGGTTAGAATTGATTTGGTGTTTGTTCATGTATTGTTTCGGTGAGATTGTATTATTCCTTGAATAGTAATGCAAAATGCACGTTTCGCATTTCATTGTTACAGTGTGTTGTTCAGTTGCGATATTTTGTTGCATGGTGCAAGTCGATATCGGTATCGTTTAGTTAACAGAATGAGTGAAAATTCACCTTCTGATTTAATGACGACCATTTTGATCAGTTTTTCTTGTTGAATGGAATCGTTTTGAGTGATTGTTTGGGAATATTTGGGATGAAATTAAGTCATATGAAGAAGGAGCGTTGATGAAGAAGTGGCATGCAAATGTTTGAAATTTTAGTCAAAGTACGGTACGAAATGGTTTTGCGTATGTATCGCAGAATTGTTGGTTGAAGCGCGGAACGTTGCGTGAGAATATCGTTTGCGATTCACAGTTCGATGAGCCCTTCTACGCAGAGGTGATTCGATGCACGGCATTGAAAACCGATATTCAGGTGAATTTTGTATTGAGTTGGTTTGGTTAGATTTTGGTTTCATGTGTTGTTTCGTATAAGTCGAAGCCATTGAAGAACTGGGATTGATTATTCGAAGTTGTTTGAGGTTCATCATTCTGAGTTTTTTTTGGAGTAAGATGACTGAATGAGACTTTTGTAATTTTGATTGGTTTCTGTACTATGGGAAATTATAATTCGTAATTTTTCGTTTAGTCATTGATATCACTGGTGTGAATGCTATGTATGTTCCGTTTTGAGTGTAACGAAGTAAGATAAAAACGAGTAACTAAATTTTGAGGCAATGCCTGGAGGAGATGAGTATGAAATCGGCGATGGAGGTTGTACGTTGAGCGGAGGTCAGAGGGCTAGAGTGGCTCTCGCGAGGGCATTGTATCAGGTTAGAGTGGTCATCATAATGAATTTTGCATTATATTGCATTATATCTTAGAGTAATTGATATTATTTCTGTGCGTAAATGTTACATATTTACACGATATTCACTGGTATTGTCACGTTTACGTGTTATTGTTGTAAATGTTATTGTTAATTCAGAATCGTGAGATCTACTTGCTGGACGATCCGTTTGCATCGGTCGATATGAAAGTGGGCACATGGATCTGGAATGAAGCGATTATTCGGATGTTGCGTTCAAGAGGAAAGTTGGTCATTATAGCAACACATCATATAAATTTTTTGAAAGATGCTGATCACATTCTTGTTTTGGATTCATCCGGCAACATCACTAAACAAGGTTCGTTTCGTGTTCACTTTTGTTATTATTGTGGTTGTTTTTATTTTGTATTCATTGTTTCATTATTGGTGTTGTATTTGTTTATTATAATGATTGATTGACATCTTTTTAGGCACACCATCAGTAATTCTGGCCGAGTCAGAATTTGAGGTGCAGTCGTCGAAGGCGTTTGACTCTTTGGAGGAATCACCCGAATCTGATGAAAACGTTGAACAAGTTATGATGCTCGATGAAGAAAAACAGGTGACATTATTGTTCATTTCGTGCATATGAATTGTTATTGTTACAGCAGTTAATTCTTATCATTTTCAGTTGTTTTAAAATTATTTCAAAGGGTTCTTTATTGTTCCGATTTCCAAAGCGGTAATAACTGATGCCGAAGTATTCGTTTAAAAAACGCGAGCATAGTCAGCAGATGTCGTCAAAAAGAAATTAGAATGAAACTAGTGTTCGTCGGGAAGCAGTTTTTCGCACGGGGAAGGGGGCACCCCGCGGGGAGAAAAATAGCCGGGGGGGGAGGGGCCCGCAAAAAAGTCGGGGAGCAAGTTGCGCGAGGGGGAGCACTCCTCGCATTATTCCCCGCGGGGATCCCCGACGGGGAGCCTGTTCCACGACAAACACTAAATGAAACAAATGAAATGTTTGCAAGACGGTTAAGTTGATAGGAAATTTGAGTGAATGTTCCAAACAAAACTTTCTCTATATTTACAGCGTGGTAAAGTGCGATTGAGTGTATATGGTGCATATATGAGCGCAACAGGTGTATTTCTATCGCTTGTCGTGTTGTTATCAGTAGCGCTCATGCAGTTGTCGAAGAATGTCTCCGATTGGTGGTTAAGCCAATGGACATCACAGTACAACAATATTAGTAATGTAACCGATCCAAAGTTTGATTCGAGCGCTGATTTCAATTTGAACAGACATTTTGTGGAGAGTCATTCGAATGTTTTGATTACATCGCCAACAGTTATAAATGGGGCATCAGTAAACAGTTTTTATGATTACACGTAAGTGATTTGATGAATATTTGTGTAAAAACATTGATGTGTTTACCAAGTTTGATTGCTGATTAATTAAGTGAGTTTTTAAACAACAACCTAAAATATATTTTCATTATGGGAGTTTTTTGGCGGATATGAAGAGAAAATATAGTGAGAAATATTTGGAGGTCTCAGCTAGGTTAGTTTCGATCATGTGAGAATATTGGTTTGAATGTGATTAGTGTAGATCAAGGAAGGTTGGAATAAATTATTAGACATTGCTAGATTATAATATTGGTATTATCGGATGGATGAAATTCTTAAATCATGGCTTATAGCAAAATGCAAATTTATCTGTAATGTCTTAGAGATGGTTTGAATAATTTTGTTTTTTTTTGTTGAAATTTCAGATATCCTTTCGGCAGTCGATCGATATTACGACTTAATGATGAGGATTACGATCAAACGATGTACTTTTTGATGGTGTTCGCTGGTTTGGCGTTTTGCAATACGTTGTTCACATTGATTCGTGCGTTTCTGTTCGCGTACGGTGGAATCGTGGCCGCAAAAAATCTTCACAACAGATTGTTGCATCGCGTGCTCAATGTAAGAGATCTTATGGTCCGCAGCGCTCTACGTGTTTAATTTTACCACCAAAACGCATTATGGCTCGTGATGGAAATTACATGTTCTTACGAATTGACCTTAACCTTAAGACCTAATTTCATTGACCCGTTTAAGCAGACTCATGTTTTCGTTCGATCGTGTCATTCTGTTCATCGCTACGAATTAACCATAATCTCAAGTTGAGCTCACTCTAGTCGTGAATCTGAACAGATGTTTGAGTGATCGCGTTGAATAGGTTCTTAAGATAGTCAGTGTATCCATACACAATTATTGCGGTTCACTTTTTTGTTTCGGAGAATTTTCAAGAAGTAAGTCTGTTGAAGAAAGCTTCCTTATTATGGTTTTATGGTTTGTTGTGCACCCTGAATAGATATATTTTTTGTTTAGGCGGCGTTATCGTGGTTGGATCGTACACCGTCAGGTCGTGTCATTAATCGTTTGTGCGCAGACGTGTACATCGTTGACGATTCACTGCCGTTTCAGTTAAACATCCTTTTGGCGTGTTCATTCAACTTGATTGGTTCTATCGTGTTGACGTTCATCGCATTGCCATTCCTGTCACCAGTCCTGTTGGCGCTCTTCATTATCTATTACTTGATCCAGGTAACCATCAAATCATTCTTGTTGTTTTCTGTGGGCTGTTTGAGTTTTTGCTTGTGGCATTTTTTATGTCTTACGACCAGAATGTTCAAGTTTCATGTGTTCATGTGCTTTTTCAGTTTTATGTGTTTTCTTTTGATTACTTTTGATCAGTGTTGTCAATATTTTACCGAATAAGAGCAGGTTTAAGGAAATTGATTTCGAATTCAGATCAGCTCTGAACAGTTACAACGTAAGATGTGAAATTTTTCAAAGCGCTGAATATAGTCTGGAAGCAGGACAAGGGAAGAGTAAAATCTGAGGAGATTCGAATCAAATTGAAAGTTTACAACAAAAGAAAATTTTCAGCGTTATTATCGTTATACGACGTGTGATGTGAAGCGATTGACTTCGTTGAGTCTATCGCCGTTGTACAGCCATCTGTCAGATACAATCAACGGACTGAGTACGATTCGAGCGTTTCGTTTTGTGGATCATTTTTGTTTGACACTGCGAAAACGTCTGAATGATAACATCCGAAGTCAGTTCTCATCGCTGGCTGCCTCGCAGTGGCTCTCGATACGCCTGCAGATTCTGGGCGTTTGCATGGTATCGGCTGTAACGTTATCCGCGGTTCTACATCGAACTTTTCACTATGTAGATTCTGGTGCGCAGTTTTCTCGTTTGATTTGTTTTGCTATTAGTAACGGGTTGAGGAAGAATTTCATCGATGAGTAGCAATCTTATTGCTGTTCTGTGAATGTCTTTGTACTATGTTCATCAAGCATGACATTGTTTTTTCCGTTGATATCGTCGTTTTCTGGAAGTTTATCTAGAGAATTACAGATGGTAGACAGCAATGTTGTGTGTGAGCGTTTTTATTGTTAGTAATCAGAATTCATGAGATATGAGTCATTGTCAACGTTTTCGTTGGTTATTGGCATCATCGTGATTGTTGCGAGTGTTATTTGATGTCATCAAAAGTATGATCGTGGCTGTCTTATTAAAAGAAGTGTTTTTGCAGCTCTGGTTGGCCTGGCGATAACGTACGCACTCTCGATGACCAATCTTCTGAATGCGTTGTTGAATTCATTCATTGAAACTGAAAAAGAGTTGATATCGGTCGAACGAATTGCTGAATATATTGAGGACACACCGCAAGAAAGTAACAACTTCCCTATTCCGGTTAGTATTACTTGTCGATTCGATCGTTTCTTCTTTTCGAATTCTCGTTATGTTAAGAGAGGATCTCTCATTGGACGAAAAGAAATTCTGTACCTGTAAAACGTGGAGATCTTTTTATTCTATTTTCTTTAAATTTTTGTTAAAAAATTTTGAAAATTTTTTGTTTTCTGTGAAAATTTTCCTTACATCACCGGTATTGTTTAAAAGGTTGCTTTTGATGCGATCTTCTTTAGTGTTCAAGCTATATAATTTAGTTTTAAAGTGGTAACGCAGTTCGCACTGTTCAGTAAGAAAGGTCATATTATAGTTGTGACTTGTAATATTTTGTAGTTGGGTTTGTGTATATCAGCGATTACAATCTTGTGTGCGATTTGCGGTCGTTGAATGGTGCTTAAATTGCACTTGGTCAATCATGTTTGGAGAATTCTTTCAGATAACACCCAATATAAGAGGTCGGATTGATTTCGCATGCGTGAGTCTGCGTTATGGTTACGGTTTACCGTTGGCACTAGAGAATGTTTCGTTTCAAATTGAGGCTGGAAGTCGAGTGGCGATAACCGGTAGAACGGGATCTGGGAAAAGCAGTTTGATTCAAGCGTTGTTGAGGGCAAACCCGATCGGTAAGTATACGCTATCTTCCTTGTTCATGGAGAGCGTTCTGGTGAAACATTTTTGGATGTTTTCTTCGGTTTTTCCCCGAGTTCTTAGATATAATTGAGTATGATTCAGTGCTATCGCTTTGTGTGTTCCATCTGAAATGATTAGTATCGTTTTATTTTAGTGTTGTTTTCACATTTGATATATTAGCGTTATAGCAGCATTGATATGGTTATCGCTTGTGAGTTGTTGTCATTACTTTTAGTCATCATTATTGCAACTATTGTAATTGTTATTGTAGAGATAAGTGCATGTATGATAATTGTTGACAATAAATGAAATTAAGTGCAGATTCTGGTCGGATCTTCATCGATGGTATAGATATAGCATCAGTGGAATTGCATTCGTTACGAGCAATATTCGGTATTGTCACTCAGTCGCCATTCGTTTTCTCGGGAACATTGCGTGATAATCTCTGTCTTGGACATCATTTCTCTGATCAACAACTCAAAGTGATCACGAGTATTGCAAATTTTGGTTAGTTTCTGCTGTACATTGTTTATTCATTTTTCGTTCAGTGTTTTTGTTTTATCATTGCATCGATTGAGCTGAGATCTTAATATTATTGGTCGTAGGAAACTGATATGAGCGTTTGTTTGTTTGGGAATTTTGAAATGTGCAATAGTTTATTTGTGTTGATATGGAACTTTTTCATAGGGTGCATTTGAACAGTTTTGAATATTTTCTCGTAGTATTTGTTGTAAAGATATACTTTTGGTAGTGTTTTAGGAATGATTGAGATTTTTGTTTTGTTTTTTTTTCTAAATGGAAATTTTAGCAATTCTATCGCAACGTTTGGGTGGAATTGATGGTGTAATTGAAGAGGGTGGAGCGAATCTTTCTTTTGGAGAGAAACAAATCATATCAATATGTCGTTTAATACTTCATCGTCCAAAGGTAGTTCATACTTTCCTGTAGGGAAATATCTATTTTTTGAGCTTTTCATCAGGAAATTTTGATGCCTATCTGGGAAATTATCGTCTGTGAATAAAAACTTTCAGATAGTAATATTCGATGAAGCAACTGCACATATGGATTCAGAAACACATACGAATATCACAAATATTGTTCGAAATCTACTACCGTCAGTGACGGCGATTTCCATACTGCATCGAATGAACGATATCGCCAGTTACGACTCAGTGATTCGTTTGGACAGTGGCAAAATTGTATGGCAAGGCCCGCCAAGTCAGCTCGACTAATATTTGTTTCTATTGTTATTTTAACGATTGGTGACATCGCTATTCGTCCTTATCGATACACTGTTAACTATTGTTAATGTATTAGGGAAAGATTAGATTAGAATTTCGAATTCTGGAGAAGTTTTATTTTGAATTGCTCGTTGAAGAAAATTATGTTCGGTAAGGGTAAGTGGTAAGTAATAATAAGAGTTATTTATCGTTTTGATTAATTGAATGTTAACGAATAACCGAAGGCGATAAATAACGAAGTGATAGTAAGTTTCAAATGTTGTATTGTAAAGTTTTAGATGTGATTGTTGTATGGTTAGATGGAATTAACAAATCGTTAGTGATTCATGACATGTACATATGATAGTTCATAAAAGTAACAATTAATTGAATGCTCGTTTCATTCAATTTTATAACTTTTTAAGGAAATATTTGATCGATCTCATTTGACTAATTTATTTATTGATCAATAGCATTGATTTGTCAGTTATTTGAACTAATCCTGATTGAAGTTATTGTTCTTAGTTTGGTTTTGAGGAGATTTTATTCTTCGCGTTTTACTTTTCTTCGCTTCTTGTTTTGTATTATTTTTTTACTTACATTCAGTTTTTTGACAGAGATCATGGTGTTGTGATTGTTTTTCTTCTTGCATTTGCCGTTGTTATCACAGATTCATTGCTATTTTTTATGAATATAATCGTTATCATTGTTATTGTGGTGGTTGTGCAAGCCTTTTCATTTCGTGCAATCAATTGTTTGAGATGTCTCGTGAACGGGATTTGTATGGAGGGTCACTATCGCTTTCCATTTGCTACATTCACTTTGTACACTGACTATTCTTCATTTCGTTTGTTTGATATTACTTCAGTTATTATATTATGATTATCACTATCGCCCGTTGTTTTGTTATTTGTTGAGCATTGGAACTAATCAAATGGTTATTGCTATTTATCTTTCTTCTTTCAGTTGTCATTTTCATTCTTCTATCAGCGACTAACGCTTTTGTCGCTCGTTCGAGAAATTGATGAAACTATTGAGGAATATGCTGATATATGGAATATGATGCAAAGTTTCCGAAAGTCAGAATTTGAATTTTCGGAAGTAATATTAATAATTCAAAGTATATTGGAACGAATAAAGTTTTATCTTGTTCTTTGCTCCACATAATTCTTTTGTGTTTCATGAGAGGAGAGTTTGCGATTTGGAATGCTTTTCTTCATGGAATTTTATGAACAAGTCATTCTTCGAAACAAGTCTCTGTTCTCATAAGTGCAACAATTTCAGAGATGATTTGAAAAAGTATTCGTCATAAATGAAGCGATTGTTTCCTGTACAGATTATGGATACGCCATATGCTCAGAAGACAAGAGAAACTGATTATCGGCAAAAATTTAACAAACTAGTGGAATATTAAAATAGAATAACATTAATGATGAGTGTGATTACGGTACGGAGATGAATAGCATGAATATTAGATTCGTTGAAGTGTTATCATTATGTAATAGACCGAGTATGCATGAACATGAATGCAATTCAAAGGAATCGCTGTGCACGTGATAAACACTAGAGATGACGATTAATCTCGAGTGTTTTCAATTAATGGCATACCCTAGCGTGGTATCGACCACTCGATCTATCGAAGTGTATCGGGAAGTCGACAACAAATTTCAGCTTCTTGAGAAACAGCTTATGAAACTTACAGTTCTTTCTATATAATCACAACAATACCCATGTCAGCGTTTTATGGGACATGTTTACACGACCACTGATCGCAGAACTCCTCAGTAGGTTGAATGTTCTCATATCAGTCCAATAAGTGATGTATGTATGTACCGTGGAGATACTGATCCAACTTCAACAGCTATAGTACCTTACAAAATGATCAATTTTTCTGCTTGAATAAGTTCAGGAAACCTCTGTTTTTCAAGAGCTTTCAGTACCTTGGCTGATCCTTCATCTATTCTGAGCAATGGAATAGTGTAAAAAAATTCATATGTTACCGGGCAAACTTGAGAGTACGGTTACCTTGAACACGGTAATCTCATTAGAGCCATAGTAACGTATTGGTATAGATCTATTGTGATCAAATGAACGTGAATGAGCGCCTCTGCGCTAATTCAGATAGCTTTAGGAAAATTGCTATATCTCCTCAAGTAAGCAAAATCGCTCGGCAAGATGCATATTTTTCTAATTGCAGAGATTCCGCCGGATCGACTGGTGCATAAATATTGATATGCTATCGGGCAAACTTGAGGGTACGGTAGGCTCGAAGATGGCAAGCATATAGGGTTGAGAAAATAACTATATGTCCTCATCTAATGATAATTGCTTGGCAAAATATATAATATTCTGAAATTAGAGATTCCGAGCAATCGAATGCTGCAAAGAAATTTGTATGTTACCAAGCAAAGCTGAGAGTACCGGTACCTCGATTATCGTAACGCCTATAACCCTATATTAATGAATACAATTGATTTTTAGTGACCAACTGAATGTGGATGAGCGTCTCAGCGCTAATTGAGATGGCTTTAGAAACTTGAGGAGACGGTAGGCCCGAAGATGGCAAACCGCATTTCAGTAAGAAAATAGCTATATCTCCTCAAGAAAGCAAAATCGCTCAGCAAAATATATGTATTTCTGATTGCGGAGATTTCGCTGGATCGAATAGTGTATAAATATTCAAATGTTATCGGGCAAACTTGAGGGTACGGTAGGCTTGAAGATGGCAAACATATATGGCTAAGAAGTGTTTTGATGCGTTTTGATTAACTCATGGAAAACATCAAAACACTCAGAAGTGTTTTGATGTTTTTCATGAGTTAATTTGTTGACCAATCTCAATGTTCAGTATCTCATCCAAAAACACATTCGAAACAATGCATTCAACGAAATATTCCATCCGATTACTTACGATTCATTGGAACTGGAAACGAGCGGACAAACGAGCTAATCAATTTTGTTGACGGGAATTTCACTCCACTAGGAATGAAGATTTCGATAATTTGATTGTCTCGGATGAGTCACGTCAGGAAGTCATCCACTAACAATTAAATCTTCTGTCTTTCATAGTAATAATCTGATATCGCTACGGACTACATCATTAATGACTGAATTCATCTGAATTGAGTTCAGTTGAGCAACGTCAAATGCACTTGTTTGCATTTAACTTTGTGTTCCATTTGTTGAAAACTAGTGGAACTACTGCATTAATTTTATTTCATATTTACAATCAACATTAATATGAGTTAAAGTAAAATTTGGTTGCTTAGTACCAAACCTGCAATGACAACAATTAGTTTTGATCACTGAAGTTGAACGAATCTGGAGCGATTTGATTTGAGTGGATTAGTGGGATTTTAATCTGCTTAAGGTCCCATATCATCCGAAAAACTATCACGAGCTTTGCTAGGAAAATCCCTCATTGCGGACACATTCATTTCATGGTATTATATCGCTGCGTTCTTTCGATCAGTTCTTCATTATGACTACTTCATCAGCATGCAGTATCACGTATGTGTTTTGCCCTTGTAATTTAATCAAACTTAATTTCATGACAACCGTATGCCCTTTGATTAAATGTAATTCCTGCCAAGAGTGTTCTCTATGATGATTCATGCTATGACGAAAAGTGCATGTGTTCTTATTATTATCGAGAAGAGATGTTTATGTGATTATTTGCTCTCTGAAATGGGTCCATCATTTCAAACTGCCGAAAATCTCAACGTCAGAATTGATCTCCAGATTGGGTGTTTGATGCCAAGCTTGAATATCGCGTGGTCTTGAATAATCATTAAGATTAACTCTGTTGTTGGTATGTAATCCAGGTTTCAGCAAGATATCCACAGATCCATCGTTGATCTCAACGAGGAACTTCAGTGGAGCAGTTCTCTTCTATAACATTCATGCAGGAAGGATACTTTCGTGAGACGATTGTCGGATTTTTAAGGAAATTAATTTCCAGATGTTTCGATAAACGATGACGAAAACTGCGTGTGTACTTATTCGTATCGAAAAATATTTTTTGTGTGATGATATCCATCCATTCATTCATGGTATGACATCAAATGTTTGCCATGGAATCCGAATCTTAATCTCAATTAAGCTATATTTCCTTCCGTTTTATGACTCAAAATGTTGCCGATTCGGAAATGAGAAAAAATCCGAACTTTATCAACTGTCAGCTTCCCAACAGTGCCATTAACTTTTCCCATAAAATTTCTAAGTGCTTCAATGACCACAGCGATTGTAATATTCCATCGATTATTCGTAAATTTTGTGTACAACTTCATTTCACTTCCAACTGTCGTGTTGCTCCATTGATTCCACAGTACCGCACAGTTTCGACGCGTGGAAATATCTAATGGAACTTCGGTGAACATTATGTTTTTACTTGAGCAATCGCCATCATTAATTTAATCTAATCGTTAGTGAATGGTCGCAACAATATTTGAATACAGCTAACGAAGCGTTGCGATTTCCCAAAATTGCTCCGAATAGTTTCATGCAATATTGTCTGTTATAACCATGACTAGCAACAACAAGTTGTGTGCTTCAAGAAGCAATCATTTCAAGTTCCTGCTCATGGAAGATGTGATGTGTTCGATGCTCTTTGATCGAAGTCATTGATCTATCGATACTTTCAATGGGTTCATCTTAACCTTTTCTTATTATCACAATTTAGATAACGTTTCAAAGACATTTTTTTCACTCATCTCAACAAGCTCCACGAATTTTACTGCAAAATGTTATATTCGTTCTGGGCTACATTAATTAGCTGCTCGCAGTTTGCCCTTATCTAATATTTACTTCGATTCTATTCGAGTCACTCGGTTGTTATTCGGTAACGCACCTGTTCCGTGATCTAGTTCAGCTGTACTCAGTTCAGCAGTTGTTTTTAATGATGAATATAAATAAATAGAAAGGGAAGTAAATTTTCTATCCGAATATCATCAAATTTTTCAGTAAAGTATTCGACAGTTGCTTATAATCGATCACGTTGCAATCATTTAATT